GGAGGGTATGTGGCAAGAGGGGAGGCGGGCGGGGGGCCGGTGCTACGAGTGCATTGCCAGCCGCTCTGGGCCTCCCTGGCACCTGCCCAGGCTGCCAAGCCCGGTGGGGTCTCCCTTGCTTCCGGGCTCGGTCTGTTTACATCCGAGCCTCTGGAGCACTGCCCTTCCACTTGATGAAACACCTGTTGCAGAGGCAGAGCCAGAGAAGAAAGAGGCTCATTTGGTTTGGAAAAGTCTGCCTTTATAAGGACAGGGAGCTGTCTGTAGCTGTGTCGTGAGTGTGAGCTGTATGTGAGCGTCGCCTGGGCTGAGCACCCCACGCTCGGGGTCCTCTTCAGTCCCTCTTCCTCCTGACCACCAAGCCTTAGGGGTCTGAGCTAACTATAAAACCAGGATTCACTCTCTGACCCATGGTCTGGGTCTAATTTAGGATCAGATTCCAGGAGCCTGATTCAGGCCAGTTGCCCCAGAGAGGGACCCCAGAGACTCTGCAAACCTTATTCTCACCAGGCAGATCCCAGGAGCCATAGGTGGCTCAGAAGTGACCTGTCAGGGTGGCCTCACCTCGTGGTGGAAATGCTGATGCCTCAGGCGGCAGGGATCCCTGGCATGGGAGGTATCACACCCAGGGCATGAGGGCTCTGTCACCTCAGCTCTGGCAGGAGAGTGGCACGAGCTGATGATGCCTTGCCTGCCAGCCGGCCACCACAGGACACTAACAGCTTAATTAACATCTGAACAAAGTCCAAGGCTCTCAGATAGGAAGCCCTGGACTGCCCGGGGCAGCAAGGCTGCTGCTGCTACAGTGAGGGCCCTCCCTGCGCTTGGGCCTGGCTCCCATCCAGCTCACTTCTTCCAAAGTAGAGAGGCCAAATCCAAATGTTTCTCTCTACCCCTTGCCTTAAATAACTGGCATCCCCATCCCCAGCAGAATAGCATCTAGAAAAGCAGTGGCCTCCATAGCCCTTAGGAGTAATCAGGAAATGCCTCCGAAAGCTCGTGTGCCAAGCATTGTCCCCAGAACAAGCTGTTTCTGAGCTCCCAGGCCTCAAGTCCCCAGCAGAGCTGTGAGGCAGAACGCAGGCTCATTACCCCAGCTGGGTTCATCTGAAAAGCCAGGCACCAGGCTCCTCCCACACGTCCAGCTCTAACTCCATGTGACTTTTCTGTTCCCGAGCCCAGGGAAGTCCAGCTGGATTCAGGCTTCCACAGCTCAGGAGCCATCTCTTCCTATGCTGTTGATGCTTACGGTCAAAGCCCGGCGGGACAGCAGCCACTGTCACGTCATTTGGAGGTGGCAGCCGAGGGACTGCTCCTCTGTTGTCCCTTTCAGTAAAGGAGCTCCCCGTTCAGGACATCGCCTTATCCTCAACCCCAAGATGTGTAATGAAATATTCCAGCGGGGCCCTCTGCTCCTTCTGCCAAAGGAGTGAGCAGCCCTGAGTGGGAAGGTGCGGGAGCATCGCGGGGCTGGTTTGTTTTCCCCTTGATGTGAGAGGTATTCCTGACGGGGTCTCGCCATGTCCCTGCCCTCCTGCCCCAGCCTCCCAGTCAGATAGCGTTAGAGACACACGCAGTCATGCCCCGCATATTCAGGCTGGTCCAGGAACCAAATCCAAGCCTCCTGAGCAGTGACACCCTCTGTGCATCACCATGGTTAGGTTACAGGTTGAGATTTTTTTCCCAGTGAGGGCCAAACATAAGGGTCCAGCCACTGCCCAGCCCCCAGGAAGGAACTGGCATTGGTACAGCGGCCAGGCTGGGACATCCTGTCGGCATTCTGTAGGGCCTGGCACCTGGCACTCTCTGCTTCTGCCTGGGAGAGGCTGGGCCCAGTGGGTGTGAGGAGGCAGCCCAGGCAGTCAGAGGCCAGAGGCCCCTCAGCACCTGCCCCAGTCACGCAGCTCACGCAGCCTGGATGCCTCAAGTGATTACTCACCTCCCGAACGCCCAGCTGGCCTTGGGAGGGGCAGGGAGGGCCCCTAACTGGTCTTCCTGACTTCCCCTGCCTTCAGACAGGCAGCACCTGACTGGGCCAGACCACTAGTCATCTGTCCTTTTTTTTTTTTCTTTTAATTTTGCCAGAGGGTGCATGCACTCACTAGAGAGAGGTGTGAGGAAGGACCCTCCTTCCCATGGGGCATGATCATGCCACAATGCCCTCTTCATTTCTCCATCCTGTCAGGATTTGGGGCACACATGCGCATGTGCCCAGCATAGTTTTCAAGTCTCCAGGTATGAGACTTGAGCCCTGTGGTCAGCTATACGGGATCCAGTGCTTTAACCACCCCTGGCCGATCCCATCTGTCTATTTTTTATTTTTGGAGAGGTTTTTTGCTATAGGGCACGTGCGCTCGCCAGACAGACAGAGAGAGACAGAGAGACAGAAAGTGAGAAATCACCCCCCAGGGGGGATGGCCATGCCGCAATCCCTTCTCCTCCATTCTCCTCTCAGGATCTTGGGCACACACACACACACACACACACACGC